GTGCGCTGTTTTTAGAACACCCTTTCAGGGGTTTAATAGGTCATTCGAATCACACTGTTATTCTCGGGACACCATTTGGAACTAGCTTTCCGTATTCGATTTTGTTTCCAGCATGCACCCTGGGCTCCCGGTTGGGAAAAATGATGCATTTTTTCGTTCTGGAGCATATTCTCAGGATCGAATGAGACTTTGTAATTTCATCTCATATTTGGCTGACGGCAATTTTCACCTTCGTTTTTGAGTACTATTGTGACTCAAGTTACCGTTTTTCGCGTCACGATGGCGCTCCATGCGCTATTTTTGGGACAACGTTGGGTAGATCTGTACATGGCGTTGCAGTCGGCCATCCCACGCGCCTTATGAGTTGCTCGAGGTTTCCTTATAAAAAAGTGTTCACGTTCCCAGATGTCAATTAACTGGTTTCGAAGAAAATACAGTTCTGGATTTTACTTAAAGGACGAAATGCGTTGCAGAATGCCATAACGATTTTCAGTGGAAGTGGAATGCGTGGCGTAGCCCAGCGAGATGGATCGACAGCAAAAACTCATTTTTTTCTCCTTTTCAAAGAAAAGTTGATAGGCGGTAGCAAGTTCGTGCAAGTGTAGATAGTTCGAGTTGTCAGACGCCGAGAGTATCGTGCCCTATAAGATTCCCTCTGCGTCTCTGTACCTACTTCCAGACAGCCAGAGTTTGCTATATATATGAGCATTTCCTCTGTGTCTTTATCGTTGTTGCAGTTATGCAAAAAGGACAACGAGTCGGCTAAGCGATGTCGATTTCACTGCTGTGGACCGCTTTTCATACGCATTCGCGGCGAATTGACCGAGTTCAATGCGCGCGACACTTGCAGTTTTTTTTATTGTCTCTCTCGAGGCGCAATAAATTCACAGCCCATAATGCACCGAAAATTATCACGGGACCTTTACAGCTCTTAAAATGATACGTCTCGAAGAATTTCGAACGGTTTTTGACAACGAGCATGACGATAAATCTTAAGCCGTCAGTCACCTTTTGCTTGATTTCTGCTCGAGCCGATGTCAGACTTTCCGCGAATTCGCGCGATTCGCTACTAGCGAATCGCGCGATTCGCTAGCGTCTGCGGTCGCGTCGCGGCCAGTGAATCACTCAATTGGCTGGTACCGCAACGCGACCGCGGACGCTAGCGAATCGCGCGAATCGCTAGTAGCGAATCGCGCGATTCGCAAAGTCTGACATCGGCCTAAGAGGGGGCAGGGTTTTCGGATCGTCGCAGGTCCAAATAGATTTAGGCACACTGCATGGCGGCTAAGTGGCGGAAGCCTGTTCAATGTGCGTTTTTGTGTGCGGTGAGCAAGAAATCTATGTGGGCAGAGTTTGCTTGGGGGCCTGAATGCAAATGTTGAAGAATGGGTTCTGTGTTGCGGAAAATCGTAGTGAAGTGAAACGCGAAAACTGCGTATAACATCAAAGTTATTAGATGGGTTTCATTTGCCTACTTTTTAAGGATGAGAAATTTCTATTCTAATTATGCCCTTTATTTTTGTGGTATTCCCCTTGTATGTCCACGTAAAAAGATAAATAGGCTATTGAACAGTGTAAATAGAACGTTACAGCTTTCACCAGTATGGGCGGAGGGTGACCAACAAACAGAAGCTTTCTTGGAAAGCTTATAGTTCACAACTGATTTGCTACATACTCGAATGTTTAAATAAAGGCCTTCAGAATATTAAACATAGAGTATCAGTCAGACCTCGATATGTGTTTCATGTTATAATAAACGTTCCAATGAAGGCAGGATATGACCGTAAGGAGAGCGGCCTCACACCGTGCACGGCGTATCCTCTTCTTCATCTCATATTGATGCTGATTGCTTAGCCGTGTGATTGCTTATTTGCCGTTGATAATCTAAGCACACAGCAGGGTACCCCCCAGGAGGCCCGTCGCGCGGCAAGAAGGCAAAGTCAGCGGACGAGTCGCGCGCGCACTATAGGGATTTCGCGTCAAGTTAAAAGAGTGTCCCATTGCACGTCCTACATCGCACATCACGCGCTGCAACTCGTCCGACGACTCTGCCTTCTTGCCGCGCGACGGGCCTCCTGGGGGTACCCCATAAGCATAGATCAAATTGCAAAAAGCAATAATAAATTGGAGCAATACGTATGCAGAAGTGAAATAAAAATTTAAAAAACACTGATTACTTTATACGTTAGAATATCGTGATGATTTCAGGCAATGAAACGTTACGAGCCCATATGTACAAACAGCACCAAATCTCTCGTATGTTCATGTGTCGATGCTGTAATTGGGCGTTTCCGGACAAGACGAGTTTACACATGCATATCCAGGTAGGTATCGATTACCTGGTATGGGGAGAGACGCAGATTATGGGTGACTGCAGCTACCCGCTTGTCTGTGCTCTAGCTTTTTGAAGCGAAAATCGTCGCTCGATTGGCGCAAAAAAAGAATCAGTTCTAATAGGCCGATGTCAGACTTTGCGAATCGCGCGATTCGCTAGCGTCTGCGGTCGCGTCGCGGCCAGTGAATCACTCAATTGGCTGGTACCGCAACGCGACCGCGGACGCTAGCGAATCGCGCGAATCGCTAGTAGCGAATCGCGCGATTCGCAAAGTCTGACATCGGCCTATTCTGAAGCGTACATCCTTAGCTGCGACAACTACAAGTAACAGTCGACAACCAGTTGTTGCGTTAATTATTATGCTAGTTCTATGCAAAAGAGGGAGAAGAGCATCGAACGGATTTTTCAAAATAAAAAATGGCGTCTGGTTAATAAAGCCTTGAGCTTCTATGTATTATATGTAACCAAAGTAGCTGCTGTAAGTGGATGGCTTACAAGCAGGAATATAGTGTAGGACCTGAAAGGAATTACCCACAATGAAAAAACAAAGCTACAGGAAACGCCGAAATTTAAGACTTTTAGCGAATAGGCGATAGTTGCGGAGACTCTGCCGCGTCTAGGTGAGAGTAATATACGGAGCGAAGAGAGAGCATTGCCAGAGCGAGCGAGAAGCGCAGACAGCCTGATCGCCTGTGACGGCCTACATCGGGAAGCGTAAGGAGTATTGCCGGTCAGCTCCAGTCATGCATAAGAACCCTCGAGGACCCTCTTAGCACAGCTAATTGTCTCATATCCTATGCGCTGCACAGGACTCAGTGGAGAGAAGTCTACAAACTCGTTTGGAGAAAAGTTTCTGCAAATTCTTGACCAACCCGCACGCTTTTTCCAGCTTGAAGGCGCAGGACGGCAATACCTCATTCCGCTCCCGAGCTTTTGAAAAGTCGCAGCTACGTTTATGCTTGTTCTTCAATTACGGAAAATGGCACCTAATTCCCGCGTGAAAGAGTAGGGTGAACAATGGCCAGTGACAAACCAATCTTGAAAAGCCGCTGCAAGTCTAAAATAGAATTGAATAAACAAGATTGCCAAGATGTGTGCTCTGTACATCATTATATCGATTTTATTGATTTACTCGTAATGATTTTAGGCCAGAGAAGAAGGAAAATCAATAACGGTTCCGGTGATTGGCAAAGGGTTGGCACCAGATGGTGTGGATTCACCTTATGCGAATCTGCATCCAATCAACAACAACACGCTGCCACAAATGCAAAATCCTGGAGGTATGTGGGAGACTGTTGCGGGACCACGCCCTCTTTTGAGGAAGCCACGCCCATTTTACCGCCACGAAAGTTAAAAATTGTGTTTTTGCAGTGCTGACTCCAACGCCGGGACTCTCATTTTTCTCAGCCCCACCGCCACCTTTGACGTCTTCTGCGGAAGATATGAGCCGTCTTCGTGATCGCTTGGTCTTGAACTCCTTGATGACCCAGCCGGGCTTTGGCCTAGCCGCTGCCTGGCTTAACAACCTGCCCAAACCTATTCCTAGTGAGTTTTTGAGAAAATCGATAATTGATTGATACCGTTTAATTCAAGTTCTTCCCCAGCTACAAAACCGTTGGTGGACTTGATGAAAAAGGAATCACGAGAAGAGGACGAATGCGAAGTGAACGTTGAAAATGACTCAGCTCACACCGATGATGACAAGGTTTCCATTTTTGCGTGATTTGGCCCTGCCAACTGAGCCCAGCGCCCTGCTGACCAACCCAATTTATTCTCCTTTTGGTCAACCATATCATTTTAGCTGAACGTCTCTAGTAGTGAGTCAGACGAAGGCAAATCCCTAGTGATTAAACGGACAGAAAGGTGATAAATCTTCGCTCATGAATTACCACCCCACATGGAAAGGATACATATTGATTTTCTAGTCCATGTGAGAATGGATCCGCAACGAGTTCTGACGGACTGTCCCCAGCGCACACAAGCTCGGCCCATTCACCTGTGAACCTTTTCAAGAAAGGCGACACACCAAGTGCTTTTCATCATCTCGTGAGTGTATTAATCGATTGTCAGTGTGGAAATGTTCAGTTTTATTGATTGGTGCCTGATTTATGGGACACTTTCAGAATGTCGATTCTCGTTTTGTTATTTCTCCATCGCATGTATCGCCGTCAGAAACGCACTCATCGGCCAGTCCGAATGGCTGCTACGATTGCGCCGTGTACAAGACCAAGTTGACTATGGCTGACAACAAATGTCGATATCTGGAAAGCAGGGGGAACACTTTACAGGTAAATAATAAACAAGTGTATCGATTGGTAGCGCGGAAAATCGACAAACAACACTTAAAGCCAAGTTCCTTTTCATCGCTGTTCCGGGGGGGGGGGTGACAGAGGAGGGTGGAAGAGCGCGATGCATCGAGTAAAATTCCAGTCCCCACCGAAGTGTGATTGTCTTTGCTCACTATTTAAGCGTTCAACTGGTTGTATAGATTTGGCAGGTCACCAGCGAGCGGTGCTCTCATGATGACCCATAACCTAGCGCAAACTGCATGCATTCAC